TCCTGCTTCTCAGTAACGAAGAAAATTGGACAACATCTGAACAATGTCCCGAAATCGAAAACTACTATTACTGTCCAAAGAAGTACCTACAAGAAAATACACAACCTTGTTTAAGCAAACTCATCCGAACTGGCAAGAATAAATGTATAAGCACGAGTATCCATTTGAAGAAGACTGAAATAACCACAATTAATTCAAACCAGCTAGTAATCGTACCCATCAATCCCATAAGAATAGAAGCAGATTGTGAAAAGAACGGTATATACGAAATAGACAAACCTTCCATCATAACCATCGACAAATGTAAAATAACCATCGACAACAAAATTTACGAACAAGAAGAAACAATGCACGAAGAGTATGTATTCGATTTACCCAAATTCGAGTTTCAAAGTAACTTAACCCAAGTTCCAACAATAAAACTAAAAACATTAGACGACGCAAAAATCAAGCATATCCAGACCGTAGCAGAGAATATTGAACTACCAGAATTAAAAGAAGCCCCGACGTATCACAATTGGACCAACACATCTCTCATCATCCTTATTACACTAATAATCTCTGTTTTAGCTTATTTCAAAGTATTCAAATCCAAACTCAACTCCATCACAAGAAGTCGACCAAGAGAGGCACATGGCTCAGAAAATCCAACTCCCTTGTTTTCCGAGCTTAAGGAGGGAGGAATTATATAGACATAAAAGAGATATCTACACATCATAGTCCAAGTCATTAGTGCGTTATATATAGTGCAGCCACGGCTGTGAACATTCATTCTTGATTTATTATTGTTATTGTATACTTGTTTTGATTCGTTATTTAACCATTGTATTTAGTTAATTTTAAATAAATTGTTTTTAAAAACGCGAGTCTGAAAACGAGTTACTTAATTACAACCTCACTTGTCGACGTCCGACTGCCGACTCGTTTTTTTCTCTATTTGCTTAATTTGTAAAATCCTTATTGGTTTTGCAATGAACAAAACGAACTCATTTTTAAAACCGGACCTGATTTTTTTTTGAGTTTGAATAAATGAGTGGATTAGGTGGTAGTAAAATAAGTTTGTCCAAAATATGAGACACATCGAACTAAATGGTCAAAAGTTATGAAAAATAGAAATTTCAGTGAAAATTCGCAACTATAAGTAGTAATCCCAATTAGAAGTACGCCAATGAGTATTAATTGTACAAGCAATACAAGTGAAGTACTCAACAAACAGAAAGCGTGTCTTTACTTGAAATTATGGGATAAGAAGTGTAGTTTACTCTACACTTCTTGACAAAAAGTTTTTTATTTCGTAAAAAGTTTCATAAAACAGAAATTTGCAGTTAACATCGTAAAAGTAAATAATGATCTACATGTAAAAAATGTTTAAAAAAAGTTATTATTATTTTCTAGGTATGCATATTATAGCATTATTCAAGTATTATTGGTTATGGTATCAAAACTAATGTTATATACATCTTACAACGTGTCCGTAAAGTATGGAATAAATTCGATATTTCATAAATGAAAAGCCTTTTTAAAAAAATCTAAAACACGTCGATGTTCTTAATTCTACAACAAAATTTCATTATAAAAGGTGAAACACATTAAGTTGATGACGTCTTCGGCTCTTTTTTTTTAAATGGAAAACCCTATATTTTATGACATTTTTAGATCAATAAAAATGAGCTGATTCCAAAAAAGTATAATACTCGGGGTCTAATGGATATAATTTGAAAGATATCTGATTAGAAAATAAATTATTTATGATCAATTTCAAAAAAGTAGCCTACTACTAGTTTTTAGTGAAATGTAATTATTTTTACGAACGTGTAATAACAATTAAGAAGTACAATAATTTTATTAATTCGTGAATGTTCTGTATAATTGCTTAGAATTAATTTGAAGTAGAAATGAATTTGGATGTAAAGTAAAGAATTGAAATACTCATGATGATTGGGTATGGAATCAAATCGCGAACTCAGTTGGATGTTTGTAATTTATTTAATGATAAATATCCAGAAAGACCCATAACGTCAACATTAAGTAAGATTGAAAAGAAATTTCGAGAAACTGGTACGGTTGAAAATGCACGCAAATCAGGTCGTCCGTCTGCAACTTATGGTACAACATCAGATGTTCTACTTGCTTTTGAAGAAGATGCGCACACTTCTGTTCGTAAGTTTAGTCATAATCTCGATGTTTGCAAAACAGCGGTACACAAAGTAATACAACTTGAAAATGCCACCCCTTTCGATGCACACTTGTACAGGAATTAAACGAGGATGATCCAGATAAAAGAATACAATTTTAAGGAATAGAAAAGAACGAAACCTTTTACTTAAAATAATAATTGATTAACCTAAAATTTTTATTTGATAGTTTTTACAAACCAAATATCCTACAAGCTAGCTACTTATCTAAGGAATCCCCATTGGTATGTATGTCTTAGTTATTTCTGAAACAAGAGCGTCACAGATTGTCGTGACTTTGTTCTACATTAAATTTCCATTAACATATTACATTAGAACAAAGACTATTGCATAAGACGGGATCTCCCTCCGTACTTCTTTGTGAAACTCTTAACTTCTTTTACTGTGGTCCTCTCCAGCTCTCTGTGAAGATCATCAGTTCTATAAAACCATGGTGTATCTAATATGCATGTCAAAAACAATGACCTTGTTATGACCTTTTTGAATAAAATTCAAAGTAATCTTTTCTGCACATCACTAGAATTGTATGTCATATATCCAAACCGGCTTTAGGATTTGATTTTATAATAGTAACCTATTGTATATTAATAGTTTAGATTTCTGTTCAAGGAGGCAAATCCATTATTTTGAAATTGAGGTCAAGTTATTTCCTTTTCTTTTTAAAATATTCCTTCCGTTTCAAACAAGCATCCAAGTTCAGGCCCAGGTGCTTAGTTGAGTTGTGTCATGGAATCACTTTAGTGTTTATTACTATTTATTAACTAATTATTAACATGAAATGATTTGTCTTCTTTGATTTTTATTCCACTCTCCCATCCATTTTTTTTCTTATTGTATATAAATGTTAAAGTTTTCTCTACGTTCCCTATTATGTTTACGCTCTTTATGCCGATTACCAGTATAGCTGTATGAATCGTATATCATTAGCTTTTGAAGTATATCACGTGTATATAAAAAATAAAGAACTAGTGCCAATACACTATCCTAATGAACAACCGCTTTAATTTCTCTTAATTTAGAGTAGTTAATTTCTCTCAATGTAAGGAGTCGTTTCTCAAACAACTTCGATAGTATTTGCAGGAGTGATATTGGTCTGTAATCAAGAAATCCAGGATGTTTCTCTGGGTTCCGTATCAGGATACCTTCAGTCCTCTTCTAAGCATCTGGCACGTGTTTTAGTCCAAATACTGCGTTTACAATATACGTCAACTTGATTACAAATTTTTTAGCAGCTTTTTAAAGTATTTCGCCAGTTATTAAATCGTATACCGATCTTTTTTAGCACTAACAGCTGTTTGTTTTTCCTTTTCAACTTTTCCTTAGGAAAAGTTTAACTATCAAAGAAGTTGCCAGTTTGATTTTTTTGGTGTGGATTTTGTTAGAGCTCTGAAATCTGATTTCATTTGATTGTAGTTAGGACGGGTTTTTAAAGAAATAGCAAAAGTCTCGGCTTTTTGTTAATTATCTCTCGCCCATCTATTGTCTGATATTCTAATACGAGTTTTATATACTGAGTGGGTATATTGTTTTTTCAGCCTTCTCGTTCCCTTCCAGAGTGAGTCTTCAATTTCCTATAAATAACTCTGTCTAACAGATACTTGACAGAACGCATTTGTGTTCTGTCAAGTATCTGTTTATAGATTCGTCTTTTTGTTTTTACAGTTCTCATGCAGCCTTCGAATGACTGTTTGACTGGTTTTATCGTCAGATGCTCTTGTAGTTTGCATTTCTCAGATTTATACGGGATAACTTCTACCAGACGTCATTTTCTTTATCGTTGGTATATGTTTCCATGTTACCTGTTATATAATTGGAGATATTCTTAATGAATATCTCTAATTCCTTGTCGTTGTTTCGTTCTAGTTGTACGTTTCGTTAAATTTTGTTTATTAATTTATCTTGGAATCCATCCCAATATATCCTCCCATTGGATAAAGTAGGGTTTGTTTCGTTGTTAATAATCATTTCACTAAGTGTGATAACAAGTGCTGAGCGATCTGAATCAAAATAAAAGTTTTCCTCTTAACCTGAAAATCTAATAAATCCGGTAATTTTGTTTAGATCAGTTGGCCAATAAATTGTCAAAAAAGAACACTCGAGCGGCTGGCAAAAAAAGTTAAGAATAAAATGGCGCGTGCACTTGGGAAATATATATGTCAAGGCCAACAAAGTGCAAACTTTATATCTGAAGTGGAAACTGAAACATCAAATACCTTATTTAAAACTTAAATTGTGGCTTATTCCCAAGAAAAATAGTAATTGCGTTATAGGTATACTTAGAAAAAAATTAAAAATTTTGTTTTGTAAGTTATATTGTTTATAATATAAATGTGCCAAAGATTAATATCTATATGTATCAAAATACAAAATTTTGTTGATCTCTGTTTTATATATTTTATGATAATTGTAATTTACACTATTCTTCTAAAACTTGAAAAGAAATGTTAACTCAAGCACAATTAGAGGAAATTAATAAATCAACCGAAATTGAAGATGAAATAGACGAGATTTTAGAGAGTGATAATTACTTGAATCAGAGAGAATTTTTCTGTACAGATGGTGTCCTACACAAAAATTTGCTGACAAAAAAAACAATATCCAGTTAAACGTGGTAGCTGTCTTAGCTATTATAAAAAAAATGAAAAATCACGTGTATCTGTAAAATTAACTAACCAAGAAGTTATCGAATCAAAAATGTTAAAGAACTCGATAGCAGCAAAAAGGACGTGCCCGTTTGCTGCTAAACAGTAAAACATCTATTTTCAAGTATACTATATTAAGAGAAAACGTAAAAAATATACTTACTCATATTTTCGATAATTAGGAGACATTTTTCGATAGGTGGATTTTGTGTAAGCACAAACGGAGCACTTTTTCAGTCTACAAGTTGCAAGGTGTTGCACAGCCTTTTGGAATTGAGATGCCAGAGCACTATTCGAGTGTTCCATCAGTTTAAGATTTTCAACCTGTAAAGAAAGTATGTATTTTAATATATTATAAAGAGATATGACTTTTTATGAGGTATTTTACTACAAAATGGAGTTCTCTACTTATTTTTAAGAAGTGGAGAACTTTCTAAAAGTAGGTTATTATTTTTGTTACCGTATAATATGTTAAATATGTTAATATACCAAATTTTAAGAAATACCTGTACGTAGTTATAATTTAATCTATTATATCTCTGTATTTTCTGTTAATCATTTTTTTCTACTTCAACATAATTATGCTGGAGAGTTTTAAAAAAAATTTCCCAATACATTTTTTGCTTTTATGAACAACTATACGTTATATATTCGAAAACTGTCTACTCCTTGAAAAAATCAAGACGATATTAACATATCTAAAAATTCCATCTATGGTTACATTGTCGGTAGATTGAGTAGGAACAAAGTGGAGCAACAAGCTAACGATCTTTTTGTAAAATGAAACATTGTCAAAACAACCGACATACAGCCACCGATCGATATTGAAAACCAAAGACAAATAAAGCAAACGAAAGGGACAAGGAATGAAGATATATATATATATGGAATAAAATATACATTAAATATTCATTAAGTTTATGGCGTAAAAATATGTCGTGGTAAACGATTCTGAAAGAATAATTCAGTTGAATCTAATTATGTTGGGATTCAAAATTACAATCCTTGGAATCTATAGAGTAAACGATGATGACACTGTTACTATGGAAGAAGCCTTTTAACAACGACTTAATTAAGAATTAAGTAATACTAAGTTACCTATATTAAAAACATCCTGTCTTATTGACCCTTTAAGTCATGATGTACACCTCGGAGTACGTCTGTTTACATTTTAAATACTCCAATAAATGACCTTTTTGCAGTGTAACTTTCCTAGCCACGAAGTATTTGCTTGAATATTTGGATTTAGGTTTAGTCTCTACTTCACTTTTGGACGTACGCCCATGGTTACTTTTACTTGGGGGTAACAGGCCCACCCCCAAGAAGGGGTGGCTGTCACACTCCAAGAAAAACATATGTTGAAAATAAACTAAAATCGACTAAATTTAAGCTCATGGTTGCTTTTACTGGTTGGTTGGTAAAAGCCACCTCTTCTCGGAGATTAAAAAAACATACGTTAAAAATAAGTCAGAAAATGGATCTTCTTCTTCTTCCTTCTAGTATGTAGGCTTTAAAGCCTGTTTCTTCTTCGATATTAGCCTCCTAAATTGTCGCACCATCTTTTTCTTGGTCTGCCAATACTTCTTCGTCCATTTGGTGACTTATCTCGTGCTATTCGTACTATTCTATCTTCTGCCATTATACTGATATGTTCGTTCCACTCCTGTTTTCGTTTTGTCACCCATCCATTTATGTCTTCTATATTGCATGCTATTCTTATGTTTTCGCTTCTCTCCCTATCCAATAGACTTTTCCCTGATATTCGTCGGAGTATTTTCATCTCTGCTGTTTCTAGCAGTCGTCTCGTTTTAGATGTGTCAGGTCTTGTCTCCGCCGTGTATGTTAATATAGGTCTAATTGCTGCTTTATAGATTTTTGTTTTTGTGTCTTGTCTTACTTCTTCTTCAACATCTCCGTAACTAGTTATATCTACTCCCAAATATCTAAACCTTGCTTCCTGCTTTATTATTTTCCCATCAATTTCGATTTTACACCGGGTATTTAGATGTTGTCATACATTTGGTTTTGTCTGCTGATATTATCATATTGTATTTCTTAGCTGTTGTATTGAAGATATGTGTTAGTCTTTGGAGCTCGTCTTCTGTCTCGGCGATTAATGCCGAAAATGGATAAATTGACTAATTCTAAGTAACATTTATTCTATGGAGATTTTTCATTGGGTCAATACTCTTTTAGTTAATGTCGAGTGAAAATAATCATGTTTTAAAATAAAAACCACGTTTTTAGACGGCATTTCTCAAATAACCCAAAAAGTAAGTATTGTTGAGAGTAAGAGTTGCAGCTCATGAAAAGTAGATTCTTATTTGTCATTCCAAATTGAATATTTCAACGTAAAATAACCAAAAAATCAAGCTCGTGTCGGGAAAAACTCAACAAAACTTTTTGAGAGTGTTTAAAAAAAAAAGTTCTAGCATTAACACCAAGCGAGTTACGTTCAAAATAAAGATGGTCCCTTTTTTTTGGTAAATACATCGTGAAAAGCACCCCCTAATCACCACCCAACTAAAATTAATCGTTATCGCATAACAGTTTACTTTGTTTATGTATTTTTTATTGGATCTGAAGTTCAGCCGTTTCAAAGTGCTTATTTTTGAATACATTTGGTTTTAAGGTATATGAAAAAAAAAATTTAATTTTGAAAAAAATGCCTATTGTTCAAAATAACTTAAAGAGTATTAGTGATTCGAAAAATCTTGAAAAGTAAAATAGTCTATTAGTGCTTGATAGCTTAAAAGCTAAACGAGTTATGAGTAAAATACCAGTCATTATTTTAGGAGATATCAGAACTACAAATTATATTGTAGAAAATACATATTTATTTTTTTACTGGGAGCCAAACTTTGTTATTTCTCTAATAGAGATGAAAACATGTCAGTCAATCGATTTTTTAAACTTTAAACTTAGAAATATCATGGAGTTCACTACACAAGAGGACAAGAGACATTGGCTATGGAAAATACAACCTTTGTAACACACCATAAGAAAAAGTGCATCTTCATTAACATACTGGTGTGACCCAAGACACAAAATAGAGGAAGAAAAGTCATTAGGAAAGCCAACACGTCTACATTCGCAAATTTTAAAACAATTTATTGGTAATCATCAAATACTATACAAATCGTTTATATATAACTACTATAAACATGTGTCACTTTATAACTAATTATGCATATTTGTTGTTTAAAATACAATGGTCACTAAATTAGTTGATGGTTGCAATTTATTAAAATCTAGATTTTAAAATCATATGGAAACGGTATGAATTATAACAAAGTAAAAAATGTGTATGAAGAATGTAAATTCTCGAAATAAAATTTCAAAATCTCGAAATTAATAAAATGCAAATAAGAAAAACTAAAGAAACTGAATAATGGAAATGTAATTAACAAAACACCCAGAAAATGGAAACTTGAAATCAGCACAGTGTATGTAATCAGTCTTAAACTTTTAAATATTTGTTTTCGAAGCACCATCTGCGCTATAGGAAAGTACCTGACCCGTATATCCATATTGGTTTACCCTACACCAGTTTGGTAATGAAACGTAATCTCAATTAATACTGAGAAGAAATTAAAAAATTAACCAGTGTTGTGATAATGTGTGTACGTTTTCCTGTTATGTCTATTTGAGCATTAAAACTATCAAAAAGTGTTACACCGTGAAAGCTGAACAATTAAAAACCAAATCAGCAAGTTGATAACCTGAATTGTCACATTGCCATTTTTAATATTAATGCGTTGCATTCCGTGATTTCGACATTAGCTCATTGTTGCCACATTTAGTTGAATTTCTTTTATTGTAATTCCGTGAAACTCATAATAAATTAGAGAGGTTAAACAAGTTTATATAATATTGAACAAAACAATATAAAAATGTGATTATTTTAAATAAATTTACATAATGTGGATTTTTACTTTCTGTGAAAACGATTCGGGGGTCTAAGGTTATGGACAAAGTAGAATAGTTATGACAATTTATTGCGTCCACAAAAATAAAAAGTAAAAATGTCGAATGTCGTAGTACTATTTACATAAGCGCCATCATTAATTTAAAGCCTTTATTATGAATAACCATAAGCTCGTATGACAGTAAGCGACATGCTCATAGACAAAAAATAGTGTTATTAAAACTCATCGAAGATATATTTTTTTAGTATTTCCGGTATCAGGTCAACTTCACTAATTTTTTAAAGATAACAGTTTATCCTGCTTTCCAAACATTTCTCTAGATCGAATGCGTCGTAGCCACATTCACATTAACTTTGGCTCTTTGCTTTGATGTATCATTAATAGCCCTCTCCTAATAACATATTAATTTAATATACCACTGCAAGATCACTACGTTCAATATGTAGTTAATTATACTTACATGTTTACATACATTTAAAATTAGGAGAATACACTGATAATTGGTTGCCAACCAAAAGTGACGGCCAATCTTTTTAATTCAATTAATAATAATTAAGTTTAGAACAATTTTATTTCGCTAATTTATTTTTTAAATAAAGTGCGCTGCTCATGACGTATATTATGTATGTTTTTTATGTTAAATTAAAGCTAATTTCTTTAATATGATAAAATAAGGTCACCTGGATAATCAATCAATCAATCAATCAATCAATCAGTTTATAACGTTCTACGCCGTCTTATGATTTCCAGTCTCCATTTATCTCTGTCGCTCCGAAGGTTTTCTTCCTTCTCCTTTAAGTCTTTATCGATTCCTTATCTCCAACTTAATCTCGGTCTAACCTTCTTCCATGCGGTGTCCGGTTAAATACTTTCTTTGGTAGTCTGTGTTCTTTGGACGTGCCCATACCATCTTAGTTGATTTATTCTTAATCCCTCTGTTACATTGTACTTAACACCAATAATTTCTCGTATTCTTCTGTTTCTAACTCTGTCTAATCTTAAGTTTCCAGCCGCTTCCAGTTTCCATCTTAAGTCCATTACTGTCGCTTCTAATGCTTATAAGTTTTGTTCTTTCAGTGGTCATACCTCACTTCCATATGTAACAATCCTTTTTATAATGCTAATATAGTTTTTGTGTTTGCTTTTAGATCGTTTTGTCCCACAGTACACTGTTTAATTGTCTTATGGCTTGTCTTCCCTGGATATTTCTATGTATAATTTATTCGTCTAATTTGACATCGTTGGTTATTTGCATGCCTAAATATTTGTATTTTTGGCAGTGATTTATTTCTCGCGGTATTTCTTCCAATATTAGATTTTGTCGAATTCCCCCAATACACATGTATTCAGTTTTCTTGATATTTACTTCTAGTCCCCATAGTTCGTATTCTTCGA